ACAAACATTCACCCTAATAATCTTTATTTATGTTTATACCTTTGAATTGAGCCATTTTATTACGAGTCTTCGTTTGAACAGTTTTGTGACTCGGGTTACTTCATTGCAATTTCGCAAAAACCATTCAACAATTCGTCTCAAATTTGTTATCAGGTATCATCAATTTAGTTATTTTTCTTACATATTGAAAATATTTCCTTTCCTTAATGGTTATGATCTATTCCGTTTAATTACAGTATGAAGCCATTTTCAACATTTTTGAAAGATCAAATAATAAAATCTCTACCAGAAGAGAAGAACTTCCTTATCGTGAAATTTCAGAAAAGTATAAATTGTTATTATTGGGGTAATAACAAAATCTAAAAGATCATCCGGAATATAAGATAGTTGTTTTAAAAAGAAGAGGAGTGGACATAAAACAAAATTTTCCGAGGCCAAAAGGCGTTCTATCTACGCTCCGTTCGATCAGGAAAGGTTGACAATGCTGTCCAAATTCAGCGTAGGCCGCGTGATAATGATAATTTCGATGACAGTGCTGAAACAAACGGAGATGTTTACGTGATGCCGGATTAAGAGCGACGGGAAAAGTGAAGAAACCATAGCTGACCAAACAGTGGCTTGCTGATCGTGGTTTTAATGTCATGGAATGGCCCCCACAGTCACCTAGCCTTAATCCTAATGAGCACTTGTGGGGAAAACTAAAAAATCGTTAGCCGATGCTGCATGAGACGCTTCAAACTTCGATCAACTTTGAGAAAAAACACAAGTTGAATGTGACCTAATTGTCCATAACAGTACAGAAATCTCGTGAGAAGTATGCCCAGAAGGACTGATGCAGTTTTGAAAGCCAAAGGAGGACATACAAATACTAACGGACTTTCTATGACACAATCATATTTATCGTTGGCACACGGTAATTTCTTTTATATTATTTTAATAATCCTGATAAAGGAACAATTTAATTTTTTGGGTGTTTTTTGTGTTAAGATAAAAAAAAATTATTTTACAAAAGTACGTTTATTTGATGTCCTACAATTGTTTCGTAAAGTAAAGTTTGGATGATGACCATCGCAACATAGACAGCTACGCAGATGGTTCATGTCTCAAAGGTAGAGGGAGCGGTGCAGGAATCTACGTAGGAATCAGCATCTCCTCCCCTCCTGGCAATAACAGCTCCGTTTTTCAGACGGAAATGTGGGCCATCAATGTGTGTTGTAGAACACTTATGAAAAATAAAATTATGGGAAAAGATGTTAAAATCTTTTCTGACAGTCAAGCTAGTCTTAGGGCATTACAAAAAGATTTGTCAACCTCACGACTGGTGGAGGAAACTATAGATCTTATCAATAGGATCTCTTTCAGGTTTGAGGACAAGGTAACCCTTATTTTCGATACCAGCACATAAAGGATACCATGGCGATGAAAAGGCGGATGGCCTAGCCAAAGAAGGTACTAATACTGCGTTTGTCGGGCCATAACAGGTATTCCTCAGTCTATGAGCACAGCGAAAGAGAGTATCAATAACTGGGGCATGAAACCATTCCTTAAGGAGTGGAATTTATCCCCCGGATACATGCAATCGAAAGAGTTTTTTAAGATGATCAAACGAGCAGAATCGAAATGGCTATTCTCTATCTCAAGGAAGGGAATTAAGAGGCTGATAGGTATTCTGACGGGCCACTGCCCACTGAGAAGACACCTCTTTGTAATGGGCATCCTACCAGATCCCTTTTGCCGTTTTTGCGAAACATAGAAGAAATGGCAAGGCACTACCTCGCAGAGTGTGATAGGTATGCTACGTCTAGATTTGAAATCTTTGAAGGAGAGGACATCACCAAATCACTCCCCGAGATAAAATGGTCCAAAATCTTGGGGTTTGTGAACATCCAAGAGGTTTATGCAGGACACGTTTAGGGATGGGGTACGAGTCTACCCAGGCATTTAATCCCTNTATATATATGATGTCCTACAATTGTTTCGTAAAGTAAATAATGATATAACCCAATTTGCATTCCGGTGTGAACGAATCTGTGAGTCTCTGTTAAATAAGGTAAATAGTATTAAATCTAAGGTAAATAGTATATATATATATATATACTATTTACCTATTAAAAACATATCTACCTATAATGGGCCACCGAGATACTCGATGTTTCATCAAATAGCCATTCCTCTAAGCATAGACACAACTATTCAGTGGAAGGGCGTGTTTTTATTTATACTCATTTACCCAACAATCTCGCTAATAAATACATCCATCTTCTAAAGTAAGAAAAGATACTCCGCAAAGAGGCACATTATATAAAATAATATATAATCACCGCTCATAACTGTTGAAATGAATCCTTCAAAAGCTATGCGTTAATGTTTTTTCTGGGCATCGTTCGGGCCAACTGTAGCCAGGTCAGGCGTGGCCTATACTTAGTCGTGTTGATATAAATCTTTCCATTTTCTTCCCGTCCTACAGGGCCAGAGTTTGACTGTGTATTATATCTATTTTAAGTTATTTCGTTTTATCGGCTAATATTTTCCATCTTCCTTATATTATATATACTGAACTGACTCGTGTCTCCCGGCAAATACTACCTTGGGACCAGTAAGACTACATTTCAGTCAGCGGCTCCTTGGAAAAAAAAATTTCTTTATGGAGGATCACGATGAACGAATATTATTTCATAAATCTTGCTTCTCTTGACTCTCATGCAGATTTCACCATTCTTTCTCACCGCAATTCCGTCCCGTACGGTCATTTTTGCTCCCATCAAACTTAAGCGGTTTATTATGAAGCTAGTCTTATTTTTTTAATGAGCACTAAAGAAAGCGAAAACGTCAAAACAAAAATAGCGATTAGTACGTCTGAATGATCGAAAACGACCAAACATTGATTTCGAAACATACTTAAGCGCAAAAATTCTTTATATTTTTTATAACAAACTAAACATGAACTTTTTAGCTAATCAGTTTAAGTACTTAAAAACGAACACTTCGCTTTGTTAAGTGTCTAAAAGTCATTATTTAATGTTGGTGTAGAACACGGAAAACCGCATTATGCGGGATTAGCAAGATGAGAGATATCTGTTTCCTGAATATTTATTTAACTTCGACCTCTCGGGTATCGGAGTACCATTCAAGATTTAATCCCTGTTGGAATAAATATGATTGACTGTTTTTGCATCATTGATGACTTTTTGTAGTTAGTTTAACCGACATTGTGGCCGAATTTATGATTATATTTTCTGGCCATTTTCTACCCAATGCTTTGAGTTTGTTTTTCGTCAATTTTGTATTGGTTTGAAAGTCAAATCTAGTTTTAGAACAATACTGGATAGTTTAGAAAAAAAATTCTTAAAATAGCTTAATGCGACGGCATTTGAAAATGTAATTGTGGATTAAAGCAGCTTTATCAAGAAGCCGACAAATGCGACCTAAACGAAGTTCATCATGAAGCCTGGCGATGATAACAAGTTTATGGTTCCAACAAAAACTTAGCTATATTACACAGCAATAAACTTACATCTTCCAGGATCATTTTTCTTCCATTTTTTTAAAATATACACTAAAATGTATTGGGTTGTCCGGAAAATAATGCAGGATTTTGGTATTAAACAAAAAAAAAGAAACTAGTTACTTTAAAGCAATGTTCTTTAATCAAAATAATTTCCCANGAAAACTTAAAATCCTGCATTATTTTCCGGACAACCCAATAAATAACACAGCAAACTAAATACAGAATTAATATAAAAGGTGATATAAAATTTATTTAAAAGGCTTTCAATCAAGTATCTGATTAAAGACTTAATCACATTTCATGAACAATGCCTTTTTTATCAACCTTTGAAGAAATATGCCAGAAGTGAAAATTCCATCAAACCAAAGTTTGATTTATGAACTCGCCCATAGCTTATAATTGGTAATATGGGTTTGCTTGTCTTTTGTCGTTTCGATTGGATTTTCTGTTTTTTCTGTTTATTGGCCCGTCTTTTCTTAAAACATTAATTCACTATTTTCGTGGTCCGCTTGACCAATTGGTACAAGACAATTAATTAAGGTTTTTAGTTGAGATGAAAAAAGTTAATGGAAATATATACAGATTCGAACCCACGACCTTCGGCTAGATACGCCGCTGCTCTACCACCTGAGCTATCGTGACCTCGATCCACTCGAACATCAACTCCCCATCTCAACCCCTGAAAAATGGCAAAAGGAGGGAAAACTCATAAGATGTGTTTGAGATGGGGAGTTGATGTCCGAGTGGATCGAGGTCACGATAGCTCAGGTGGTAGAGCAGCGGCATTTTTAGCCGAAGGTCGTGGGTTCGAATCCCTCTCGTGCCATTAACTTTTTTTCATCTCAACTAAAAACCTTAATTAATTTTCTTAAAACATTTATTGCAATGAACAATTTTTCAGAATAGTATAGGCAAACACTCGCTGAAGTATATAAGCAAAGTCACGGAGAAGGACAGATAGGTGTAAATGTTTAATATGGAATTGAAATTGACAGTTGGACTTTTCTCTATGTCGATAGTCATGAGTAGGATTTATTCTGGAAAATTTAGCAAGACTGCCTCCACAGATCGCAGGAAGACTTGCAATAAGCTATGATGGGTTAAGAAAGAAAAGCCCCCTAATGCAAATTCAGGGTCCGAAACATATCGAGTTATCAATAAATTGCATGGAACATAGAACATAGTAATTTGTTGACATAGTAAATTAAGGTAATTTTCATGATGGCCGCGGATTAATAAATCAGGGTCCCTCTGAGAATATCCCCAGAGACGTGACTGATCTACCTTTTATTCTCATTACTAACAGGGTGTTTACGCCGATCGCCCTTTTGAACCCTTCTGGAGGTCTCCGGCCGGTCGGCGAGTTAGTTGTTGCCTAGAGCCAAAGCCGAGAACATCGTTATCGTACCTGCTTATCTAAACTCGTGTTTTGCGCAATTGATGGTTTCTAATTGCCCGGGTCCCTTAAGTGTTCGGTACCAAACGTCTGAATCCGCCGGAGACTGTGGGGCCCTACCTAGTCGAAGAAAGAAGAGGACGACTGGGGCCGAACTGCTTGAACTCGTTGGGGTAAGTGCAAACTTAAATGTATCCCAATCCCCTCCTCGGATTCACTCTTTAAAATTTAATATAACTTATAAATTTATTTACCCATTCATATACAGTCCACTTAGCGAACACAGGGATATCTTAAAAAGATGTGCTATTTTGAAATATTCCTTTTCGTTGGGACCTGATGGCTACCAGAGATGTTTGTTAAAACTTGCTCTTCGTCGGTTGCTCTGCCACTTACAATTATTTTTCAACGATGGCAAGGCATCTTCCCTGTTAAATGGAAATATTCTTACGTGGTTCCTATTTATAAGAAAGGTAATTCCCACTTGATTGTTAATTACAGACCCGTTTGCAAATCTTCTGTTTTCGCCAAGATGTTAGATTCCATTCTTGCTGAGGCCCTTAGCATGGCTTTTCTATCATATGTTAACATCAATCAGCATGGTTTCTTAAGGGGTAGACCCACCAGTACAAATTTATTTCCTTATTATGATTTTATTGTTAATTCCCTTGAGAATGGAAATAGTGTTCACGCTGTATATACAGATTTATCTAAGGCCTTCGATAGAGTTGACATTGATATTTTTGTGTTTAAGTTGAAAATCCTTGGAGGTGGTGATCCTTTGTTATCCTTCATCGAATCATTTCTATCTGGTCGGTCTTTTTCTGTTCTCATTAATAACTCTGTATCGGATAGGATTTCTACATTTTCTGGCGTACCTCAGGGTTCACACACCGGGCCCATATTATTTCTTGTTTATTTCAATGATGTCTCTAGTATATTCAAGGATTGTAATTTTTCTTTATTGGCGGATGATTTAAAAATTTTTAATTCAGTCTTCTATTCACGACTGTGTTGGTTTACAGAGGGAACTGGACTGCTTCAATAATTGGTGCGAGCAGAATCGTCTTCCTTTGAATATTAACCAATGCAAGGTAATTAAATTTTCTAAAAATATCCGACCTCGTGACTTTGATTGTTTTGACTATTTCGTTGATGGGCAGAGATTGGAAGAGGGTTGATACTATCTCCGACCTTGGTGTCGTTTTCAGCAGAAAGGGTGTTTTCACTGGCCTTATCAAACAGATTCGAGGTAAGGCTCTACGCAATCTTGGCTTTGTTACTAGGTTTTCTAGAGATTTTTAAAACATCTTGGCAGTTAAAATATTATATCAATCCCTCGTTCATAGCCATATGGAATATGCAAGTGTCGTGTGGTCCCCTTACTACGTTGGTGAGATTAGCGACTTGGAAAAGGTACAAAAGAAAGCAACCAGGATAATGGCCTTCAGGTTTGGTCTTGCACACCTGAATTATTTGGAAAGACTGAACTGGCTTGGTCTTGAGTCGCTTAGCTCCCGCCGTATTTTTGCCGATCTCATTTGGGGTTGGAATGGGGCCATTGATATCCTAAACTTGCATTTATCGCTATGTGTGCCTCAGCGACCACTTAGGAACCATAATTTGTTCTTTGTTCCACACTACAAAACAGAATATGGACTAAATTCACCCCTACCGAGGATAATGAGATTGCTGAATTATTATTCTAATGAAATAGATGTATTTCGCGATTCCTTGAATTCATTTAAAGTTAAATTAAAATGTTTACTTGCCTTGAATCATTAAGCCTTGTGTTTTTGTTATTATTGCTTTGTTAATTTGTTCTTTTTGTTATTATGTGCCTTTTTTTGACTACTCCTCTTGTAGATTCTATCTGTTGGAGTTATAATAAATAAATAAATAATCCCGATAATCTTAACCGCTTGCTGTATATACGACATATCCATAACCCATCCACTAAAATTTGGTCGTTTTGGGTAATCCTCGTCTGTACTCGTTTTTTAAACTCTGAAAAATAACACGCGATGTGAGTTTTTGACAACAATTTATAATATTAAACCGGCATAATGTTAGGGTTATAAGCTGGATAAGTCAAGATCAGATATCAAGATACACAATTGCCTGTGACGAAATGGAACGTTGTGCATGCGTAGTCTAATCCCTAAAGTTTTGGTTACGTTAATTCAGCTGGACTATTTGGCTTATTACAGCGCACATAAGAAATCTAAAGAATTTCCATTTGTTTGAAAGATATCTGTACTTTCAAATAATTAATAACCAAGACTTGATTGCATGAAATCGCCCATAGTTTATAATTGGTAATATGCTTGTCTTTTTTCCTTTTCTCTCTGTCGATAGTCATGGGTTAGATTTATGCGGGAAAATTTAGCAAGACAATGCAACCACAGATTGCACGAACGCTTGCAATAAGCTAAGGTGGGTTATGAAAGAGAGTCCCCCTAATGCAAATTCAGGGTCCGAAACATATCGAGTTATGAATATATTGCAAGGGGTCGCAGTCCTATAGATTATCATGTCGGCTGGAACCAGCATGTTTGATTGATGCTAAGCGTGCCATATTTCATTCCCAAGGCGAGCCAGTTTTCCGCATCCAACGCTGGCAATTTTTCTTTACAAACGATCTGAGTGGGAGGGCGTCTCTTTTCCCATTGAAACGACTTGTTGAAATTGTCAACCGTCGTATTATGTATTTCAATGCCGCTACATGGTTAAATATATTTTGATATTTTCTATATTAAAAGATGGCTCTTCGTTAACGAGACAGAGAAAAAACTTAAAAGGTAAATTCACTAGTTTTCGTGGTCCGCTTGACCATTTAATATCTTTCAATTAATTAAGGTTTTCAGTTGAGATAAAAAATCAGTGTCACGAGCGGGATTCGCCTAGATACGCCGCTACTCGACCACTAGAGCCATCGTGACCTCGAAGGTCATGGGTTCGAATCCCGCTCGAGACTGATTTTTCATCTCAACTAAAAGCCTTAATTAATTGAAAGGTATTAATTGGTCAAGCGGACCACGAAAACCAGTGAATTATAATTTACGGTGAGGCTTGTTACCTAATATTTTAGAGGAATATCAAATCTAGTACTCTGGGCCAGTGTGCGTGGTCTGAATGTAATTTATTAGTTAATTCACTAATTTCGTGGTCCGCTTGAACAATTAATATACTACAATTAATTAAGGATTTGAGATAAAAAAGTCAATGGCACGAGCGGGATTTGAACCCACGATCTTGGGCTTGATACGCCGCTGACCACTTGAGCTATCGTGACCTCGATCCACTCGGACACCAACTTCCTATCTCAACCCCACCTTTTGAATTTTCCCTCCTTTTTGCCATTTTTCAATTTTTTTTAATCCCAATTTTTGAATTTTTCAATCCGAGTGGATCGAGGTCACCACATCTCAGGTGGTAGAGCAGCAGCGTATCAAGCCCAAGATCGTGGGTCCGAATCCCGCTCGTGCCATTGACTTTTTTATCTCAACTAAAAACCTTAATTAATTGTAGTAATTTATTAGCGTGAATGGCGATGTTTCAGTGAGTTTGAAGTCTGGTGTGTGATTATAATTTACGGTTAGTTATGTTATTTACCTTTTTTGGGGAATTTGTAGTACTCTGGGGCATGTGAATGAAGTCAGTTGATGTAATTTATTAGCGTGAATGAAAGGAGAGGCTTGTTCTTAAAATACCCTAAGGAATATCTAGCACTTTGATTTAACGATTGCAGATATTTTATACATATATTTTATATATTATAACAACAGAAACATTGTCAAATATATTTTTGTCACATTTTCATGTATTTTATTATATATTATAATTACGTATTCATTTTCACATGTTCTTGTAAGCGACTCGGCTTTATTTTTGTACTCTTTGAATACATTTACTACTTTTGTACAATTTTGAATATATTAAAGATTAACATAATTAATTTAAATACTTAACGTGCTGGAAATCTTAATGGGCACATATGCCATGTTCAACGGAAAGTACCTCCAAGGAAAATAAACTTTCGAAACTACCGAGAAACTACATTTCAAAGTTAAATTAGTTTGTTCATTTATATTCAAAAATTGAAGCCACCACCCAAATGCCCGGTTTGTAGACATCAACCCGTAATGTTAATAATAATACCTCGTCTGAATACATTACTATTATTATAACTTGAGCAATGCAGAGCTGATACAAAATTGTGTTACGTATTATAAATTTATTATGTTAATTTATTATAAATTCAGTTTAATTATGGGAAATTGTATGTTTTCCCTTGTCTCTGAATAAATAATTATACACTAACATTAGATTTAATTATTTATATGTGGGTTGGTTTCGTTATGGTTAATTCATGCCACTCCTGTCGATCCATTGGCTCATTTTCATTGCGAATTAATTCACGACCTTTTTTTATTTTACATTTTTAATGAACCTACAGAATTATCAATAAATGGTTTCTATTCCAAATCAGTTACATCTTTTAATATGTACGCTGCATTGTATATTGCATTGTAATAGCATTATTAATTAAATACAGCTAAAAAGGCTGGTACGAGTTGATATATCAAGTTTTATATTTATAATTATTTGGAAATCGTGAGATGCCGTGTGGTGTGCTGTAGGCTTCAGAAAAACATTTTATTTATTGTGCCAACGTTTCGCTCTTTATTGAGATCATCTTCAGAGCTCAAAGTGTTTTTAGTGTAGATTTCATGACGATTTTGTTATGACTAACAATTTACCTTAAAATTAATAACCTTAAAATCAGTATTATCTGTTTTTACTGTTTAATTGTGACGTGTGAAGTCATATAAAAGGCAAACTTCTGTTTCTCAGACAAAAATATGAACAAAGTGGGTAAATGGAAAAAATGTATTGTCAGGACTATGCAGGGCCCTTCAATTCTATGGTAGAATCTGGAAGAAACCGCCAAGGCGTATTTTGTATTGTTCCGAGGTCTATTCCTCCTTTATATTGTAGTTAATTATTATTTACAGCATTTTTACTGTTTGGTTTTTTTCAAGAAGCTATAGAGGGACTTGACAGAGTTAGGCACCCTCATTTCTTTTCCAGTTAAAAGTATAGCTTTTTTCCAATAAATTTACCCTTTATACCGGCAAATTAATTCTTTCAATATTAAATTAAGCTTTTC